TGTGAATCAGTACTTGAGCAACCTGGAATGCTTTTTCCCCGTTAGGCAGACGCATGCTTTCAGTTAATCTAGAGAGGTGTTTGTAAAACAATCCTGTCAGAGCCTGGAACTCTCGGTTTAGAAGTACTCTGAACTTTTATTAGGTATTAAATTAAGGTAATTGCTGTTTATAAAGCAAGTCATATTATCATATTCTCCCTCTCTCTGTCTCTCTCCCCTGCATTTTTCTCCGGTTTTATTCTCCCTGCCCTCCCCCACCCCTTCCACCCGCTCCCTGTATAAAAGCACCAGACAGGCCAGCAAGCCCACTGACAATGACACCAACTGCCAGGCAACACTCGCCAGTCTCCCCTTCCTGCAGGCACCTCTGATCCTACAGTGATCACTGTGGGGCTTCCCAACACCTCCTCTTTTTCCCCCCGCCGGCCCACCCGTCTTGGCTTCTGAAAAGGTAAATCCTCCCACCACTAATTATGACCTGTTCAAAGTGCTAAGAACTCAGACAATTCTTGGCCTTTCCCCGGTCTTCCTCTTAATTTGGCTGGGAAAAGGGACAGCAGGGAAATTCCGAATGGACATATTGTGCCACCTCCTAGTAGTCCTGTGGGGACATGTCTGCCCTCAACTTCCTTTCTTTTTTTAATCTCTACTTGACTTTTAGTGACAATCACAGAACCTCGGAGCAGCAAAGAATCTTAGATGATTGATGATGATTTCATGAACCAGCAAAAATATATATATATGTAAAACATATATATATTCATATATATATTCTTTTTTAAGTTTTATTTTATTTTTGATTGGCAAATGATAGTTGTACGCATTTATGGGGTACAATATGATGTTTCGATACATGTACACATTGTGGAATGATCAGATCGGGCCAATTAGCATATATATCACCTCCAATATGTATCATTTCTTTGTGGTGAGAACATTTTTTAGATTCTCTCCTTCAGCTATTTTGAAATGTATATTATTATTGACTGTAGTCGCCATGCTGTGCAATAGAACACTAGCATTTATTTGGCCTCGACTTTCTATAGATGCGGGCGTGAATTTTGACCACACGTCAAAATTAAATGTTTAGAATGTGTGTTTATAAATGCTGATGCCCACAGCGAACCCCATGCCAATTAAACAGGGTTGGACACAGGCCACGGCATTTCTTTTTAATTAATCTTTCCTTTTGGGACCACCTTAACCTACCTTTATCCTGTCAGGCACCTCTTTTCACCAATAAGGAAGAATAAAAATCAAATCCCATCATTTTTTGTGGCTTAATCTTTGGCAAACAACTTAGCCTTAGCCTTTCCGTGCATCCATTTCCTCATCTTTAAAATGAGGATATTTTTCAAGTTTACTTCTTAGTTTTGAGGAACGTTTGAAGAGATAATAGCTGCAAAGCACGTGGAACATTTCCTGGTGTATGGCAAGGGCTTAATTCATGCGAGTTACATATGTGCTGTGTCCAGATAGTGGCAAAGTTCATGCATCATCAATATTTTATCTCACTGTCACCTTTCAACAAACAGTGATCTGTCTTAAAACATGCAATTCCAAGATAAGGATTTTTTATAACACTTGCATAATAGATTTACCTAGCGCACACTGACTTCTACAAATATACCTGTCTTTAAAATTTCGAGAAAGGGCTCAAAAAATCAACAAAGGATTAAGTGCTTAGGCATATTTTCTAATAGAGATATCACTAGCTTCCCATAGGAAACATTTATTCTCAAATATACACATTCAAATACATTAAAAACCTTTCCCCCCCTTTAGAAATACCTATGTTTCTGGAATTATTCTACTTGAAACATTTTAGAAACCTCACTAATAGCACTAAGGGAAAAGAATTATATTATTTGAAATGTGCTTTGCCTAAATAATACATTTTTATTCAGAGCTTTATAGAGTGCATATACAGTAATAGACAAGAATTGTTAAATCCATTTCTGTCTCATAAAATGAATGATTATATCATCTCAATTTTAATAAGCAATTATTTAAAACTTTGAATTAAAATTCAATAGGAGAATAACTATTATTGTGGTATGTAAGGTGTGAAGAAAAATTTAATATAGTTTCCAACTACATTAAAATGTGTAAAGGATAAACAATTCGTATATTTCTTTGTTGATTATTTTCAAAATGTGAGTAATTTTTGAATTGTATATAAGCTTTGTTTGGAAAACAAAAATTTCTAACCACTTTTTGATATAATGATTTTCTAAAGTGATTTGCCAAGAGTATATCCAAAGACAGCTACGTAAGTGCATGTCCCAAAAGAAAGAGTTTTGTAGAGTAAAAGCGCTAACACTCTTTTTATAAGGCTGTCCGCACACACACGATGGGGTTTTATGTCTGGATAATTTTTCCTGTGGATGATCTCTTGAAAATACACTCTGCAGAGGATCATCCTACGACTCAGCATTAGAAATGTTTGCTTTCTGTGACATATATTTAGAATATAAATAAAAGATTTATATAAACGTTCAAAAATCAGGCCTATGTTACTGATCATTTGGGCCTTTAAAAATTCCATTTATTTTTTGAAACAAAACAGAATTTTTTGGCATTGAGCTTCAATGTCAATGAAAAATTTTGATTATTAATATTTCTGTTAGTTATTTCTAAAATTTGGGGTTTATGTACAGTTCAACCAGCCAACCAAGTACTAAAAATGTCTGAACACATCTCGAAAGTGACTAAACATGTCACCAGAAGGATATTTATTGAGAATTATAAAGTTATTCAATTTCTGATCATCCTTAATAACATTAGACTAGTTTTTCTTGTGCTCTTTTAGCCTATTAGATTTTCCATTCTATATGGCATTACGGAAAGTCTAAATACTTAAATATTTCACAGGTCAAAATCTGTTATTGTCTATAGAACTGCTTTATGGTATTCCCATTTTAAGGGGCATGGCTCAAACGCTGGCTGAATTTTTTTTTTTAATATTTATTTTCCTTAATTCCCAAGTTAATCCTTTGCATGTTCTTCAAAACTGTGAGCATTTCGTTTGCCAGCAACCATCCTCCGGCTCAGCTTTCTGCCTCTTTCCTTGCACCCTCCTACTTGGAGGTGATTCACCTATTAAGCTATCGCCAATCTTTACAAGAGGAAAAGTGTACGCCCAAGCAAAATCCACTTCACCTTGAACTTAACAAGAGACCATTACTAGAACTGAATTGACTTAATGGTTTAAATGAAATACAGTGATCCTAGTGTGGTTATGGCCTTGACAACACAGAAAGTGACAAGCATTTTTGCTCCAACAGCTTTCTGGAACAAATAATGCTGGTATAAAAAATTGAATATAATAACTTGAACTAAAAAAAAAATAGGCATTGCCACAGTAATTTAGAACTTATATTTTCTTTAAAAGGCTCTTTAGTTTCTTTAATTTACAGATAAAAAGGAAAAAGGTAGACTGTAGACTATAGTCTCTCTCTCTGTCTCTGTCTCTGTCTCTCTGTCTCTCACACACACACACACACACACACACACACACACACAGCAAATGAGACAGGAAGGCTGAGGCTTTTGCCTAAGGCCAGGCTGCAAGTTAGATCAGAGCTGCAATTAGAACCCAAATCTCAGTAACTGGAGCCAGCCAACTGCTATTCTAGACTCAGAGCAAATCTCCTTCAGTGTCACGGATTATATATACGCTGAATTAGGCACTCATATTTTATCTGACGTTGCCTGCCATTCACTCCTAAAGAAACCTAATGAAATCACCTTCCTGATCCTTTAATCACTCTACCAGTTCCAAGCCAAAGACGCGAGGCAAGTTACTTAAACTCTCTGGGCTCTTTCCTCATCTAAAATTAATGGGTTGAACTGGAGACCTCTGAGGAACTTTCCAGTTTTAAAAACTCTGCTTTTTATCTCCTGTTTCATGCTTCTTTCTTGATGTTTGCAATTTTCACTAGGGGGCAGGATTCCACCATTGCATTATGAAAGCGCTTTCTGACGGACGCCTGGGAGCAGAAAATTTCAAAGAAACTCCTTTCTTCAACATCAAACATTTTTTTGAAAGTAAAAGCCAAAGGGAAAGAATAAATACAAAAGCAGTGGCCCATATATTTCATAAAGATCTAGACCCATTTTTAATGTAAGTATAAAATAGAGATTTAATCTCATGTTCTCACATTTTCTTTCATACACTACAATTTGCAATTTAATATTAAAATCAGGTAAAATTTGCTTAGTTTCATGTCTTTTAAAATTATTTTAGTTGAATGCCAGTTACACAATAGCAGATTTCCTTGAGCAAACTGGTAGCGTAAGCAACTAAATGGCAACAAAAGCACAAAACATTTTAAATAGCTATTAGGTGCATTACAAAGTTACTCCTAGTTACAATATATTTTGAGTATCTTTGAAATTATCTTGAGTTCTTCACTGGATGAGTACACATGATGGAATACAGTACTTGGATTTTTGCATTTATTTGTCAAATCCTTAAAAGTGTATTCTTTTAAATAGATTTTGTGGCATTTCATCATACTTTAAAACTTATTGCCCAAAATTGGCCTTTTTATGAATGCTGCATAATAAACGTGACCACCAACACCTTATAAGAGTCCCCAAAATAGCCAAGCGGTTATGCTGAGTTGAGCATTGCTCCTCTGCCAGAGCCAAGCAAAGTGACATGAAACAATAGCTCAAACGAACATTCTAACCTTGCCTCCAAGAAACGTTCCCCAGTGTCTTGCTGGTTGTCAAAAGAACATGATTCACTAGGCTCTTTCAGCTGATAAATATGGCGCACTTTCCCCTCTATCAATTGCAATTACACATGATTTTACATTACTCTGAAAAGTTTCTTAGAAAACAAGCCATATCCTAGAAAAATTCGACGCCAGCCCCAAAATCAAACCCCTTAACAGACGTCTGCATCAGAACTTGAAAAAACTAGCAACAGGTTGGATTCATTGACTCCTTCCCAGCACAAAGCAGTGATACCTCGTTTTCCCCCGTCCTACCTTTGCCACTTGCAAGGGCTGCTTCTGCTCTTTGCCACCTTGCAGTCGGAACCCCCAGGGCGCCCCGCCAGTCATGGAAATGCAGATAAAATCCCCGGTGCCCATTTTCTCCTTTCAGTTGGGCAGCATGAAGAGCTCGAAGAGACAGACGACGGACGGCGCTGGCGTGGCGCTGAGGATGTGCACTGCGCCGCGGCGCCGCCAAGGACGCAGGATCGAGGCGCGCAGAGCCGCCGCGCCGCCGCCAGTTTCCTCCGCTAATGGCATCGTCCGCGAGGAGCAGAGGCGCTCGGCACCGTCCGGACCGGCCCCCTCCTGCGTCACGCTCTTCGCTCAGCCCACCTGCAGCGAAAGGAAAGCGGCCACACGGGAGTGTCCCCACTGGGGGCGAGATGGGGGCGGGGGACGGGAGGGAGGGCAAAAGTTCCCTTGCACTAACACATTGAACTCCAGCACTGAAAAAAACCAAGTATGATTGGAAAACTTGCGTTTAACAATTCTGTGAACAGTAGAGGACACATGAACGTTTTAATCTTCATGCCATGAGTGACATCCTAAAATCTGAGCTCTGAGAATTCAGCTCCTAGAGGATTAAATTCTCTCAAATAAATGTTTTGAGAATTACCACGTTGTTGAACGAAACAGACAAAAGGGAGTTAAAGTGGGTTAAATTATTATTTTTCTGTCTGCAGCCTGCAGAATTAATCCCATAAGAGGAGGAAATAAAAGAAAGCCTAAACATTTATTTTTTTAAAACCTCCTACTATGAAAAGTACCTTTCTGAGCTATGATATATATTTAGAGAAGGTGGGGGAGGAGGAGGAGGAAGAAGAGCTGGGAGAGAGAATGAGAATATGAATTTTCCCCTGGAAACGAATTCTTATAACATCTATTGCATGGTTCCGGGTATTTTAAATTTAAATAAGTATTTCATTTTCTTCCTTGCTGCTGATCTTAGATCTGAATCTAACCGTCAACTGGATACAATGTCACCTACAAGTTTCTTATTTTATAGCATCTCATGATGTGTCGTTGTGAATCTGGGTGGTCCAATATAAAAGTGGGTTTTATGTGTTCCAAAGTATTTTAATGTTTTCAATCTGAATATAAGCTACCAAAAACGTACAAATGGAACATTTTTATTTTCCCATAATATTTTCCATAACATTCATCCACATAAAAACACACTAAATAAAGAAGAGCCTGGGATAGTTAGCTTGTGTTACTTGTAGTACCAGACAAAAGTGACTTCCAGACACGTTGCCCGTGTCAGTACTAGGAAGCTCTATTCAGTGAGTCCTCATTTAATATTGTCTGTAAGTTCTTGAAAACTGTAGCTTTAAGCAAAATGACAAATAATGAAACCAAAACCACAGTCTAATTGATATAAACAAGAGTTAAGTTCCTGTGGCCTATTTCTAGTCACAAAACATCACCAAACTTCTAAATAAAAACCAAGACATTTCGAACATTAAACATTGACATAAATGTGAGCTATGCATACATTTAAGAATGATTAATAAAAACAAGTAAGATATCAATTACCCAAATTTTGGTGACTCAGCGAGTGACACCCGTCACAATGGTGGTAGGTTTGATCAAGGAATAAATAGTTGCGGAGCCTCTCCTCCTGCTGGTCTCGAACTCCTGAGCTCAAGTGATCCTCCCACCTCAGCCTCCCAGAGCGGTAGGATTACAGGTGTGGGTCACCTTGCCAGGCCTGTCCAGTTCATTTATAGTAATGAGGTCCTCAGTAGGACGATAAGGAAAAAAAACAAAAACAAAAACTCCCTTATTCAGTTACAGAAAGAGCCACAGTTCAGTCATAGGGCTAGTTTTAGGATATGTCATACGCAAAATTGTATTGCCTGTCTTCCAGTGGTTGTATTTCTAGTTTATTTTTAGTTTTTCAATAGATGTCACACAAAATTAGGATTTTGACTTTCAACAGTGATTAATTTGTGGTTTTTTTCCATAGATAAAATTAACGCTTTTTAGATTGTTATAATTTAGTTGGCCCTCTTTCGATATTTTTATTTTTTCTACATCACTCTTCCTACCCCCTCTCTTACTTCATAGCTCCACAAGGTGAAGCTATGTCTGCTTTGCCCTTAGGCTTCTAGAAGCTAATAGTGTTAAAAATAGATATTTACATTTATCATGTCAAAATGAACATTTAAACAGTTGCAACAGTGGTATTTCAAATTCCTAATAAATAGAATCAATAATGTCAGTGGATTCCTGGGTGAAGCTTTATATTGGAGCCAAATTTTTAAGTTGGGAATGACTTTTAACTTATTAAGCAAATGTATAGTATAAATTGCCCCTTTTTTTGCACCAAAATATGTTTTCCAGACTAAATCACAGTGTGCTGTCAATAGGTCACAGACTTGCTACCTACTCTGCCTTTAAAAACCTGCTCTTATTCATTCATTTAACAAGTGTTTATTATTTATTTCGGGCATTATTCCAGGCACAAAGGCTACAGAAATTAACAAGTCAAACAAGGTGCAAGCTCTACACGTGCATATTCCAGCAGCCAAGACAGACAATAAATGCAAATAACTGTATGTTTTGTCATATGGTGGCAAAATAAAGCCGCAGTGGGGTGAAGATGGAGGGAGTTTGGCTACTACAAGGGAAGCTTTCTGTCACGTGGTGGTGATGTTTGAGCAGTGACCTGTGTTGTTGCAGTGGTGGCGGTTGTCACAGATTTCAATCACAGAAATATTTTTGAACAAGATACTGACTATATATACTTTTCAGAGGCAGCACAGGTAGGGGTGAGGGATGGGGCTTGGCGTGAAGTCAAAGCCCAGCTCTGCTGCCTTGGGTACATCTTGTCTGTTCTGAATGTCAATATTCTCTTTTGAGGTTGCTATGAGCCATACATGAGATATTTTTAAACACCTGTTTTTAAACAAGTTCCTGACACATAATAACTGCTTAATAAATCTTTCCTTTAAGTCCTCCCTTTGCCATCAGACGGTCCTTTCCGATTGGAATCCAAGCTGCCTCTGAAGGGGAAGGACCCCAAGCTAATAGCTGAGAGTTTCTGGAAGGAAATAGCTTTTCCTGGCAGGTCAGCGCAGCAGGCTTCCATAGAGTGAGTAGTTTCCTAGAAAATTACTAATTATCACAAGGCTGCCGGCAGTCACTGAGCAGAGAAAGTCAAATGGCCGCCCCTGAGTTTGAAGAATAAGAGGTCGGCTGACTGGACGTCATGACCCTTCCCAACTCAGCAGCAGGCTTGGGAAGGAGGCCTGGGTCTGCGTTCCGGCTCTGCCCGGCCCCAGCTGTCACCTGGGCTCTCTGTGCCTCCGTTTCCCCAGGTGTGGAAAAGAAAAGGCTGCTGTGAGGAACAGATGAGGTAAGTTGACGCTCACACGCTGCGAGAATACAGGAGCTACTCAGCTCGTTTCTGTTGTATTGTCGATGTTACTGTTGTTAGTAGGGACTTACCACTGTTTTGATTCAGGATGGTTCTCACAGGACCGTGCACGAGTAGGAACGCCGCCCTACTCTGGAACAGAGCTACGGAATGAGCTAGGTAACCATGGCTGGGACTTCATCTCGGCTCTCCTAATCCCCAGCATCTATTACATAAAATGGGGCCAGAAACCTACTAGGAGCTCGAAAATGTTTGCTGACGAATTAAGTCCTATCACCTGATTGTGAGTTTTTCCCACTGTATTGCACACCCAGGCTTAATGGAATTGCCGAACCAGATGGAGACTTGGGAGGTTTTCTTTTTTCCTGCCTTTCAAATAGAGGAACCTCCTGAACTTCCAACATGATCAGTGACCAATTTATTATAATAGGCCCCAGGCTTCGAGTTATCTGAATGCAATCACAGGTTCTTTGTAAATAAACATGAGAAGAAGCTGCATAGAATCAAACTGAATTCAATGGAAACGCTAACTGGCAGATTTAAACTAACGTGTTAAACCTGGTTTGGACTTTATTTCCAGATTTCAACATTTATTGGCCAACAAGTTGAGTGATGAGAAATAATAATTTTTACATTTGTTATAACTTTCTCTTTGCAATCCTGAAGTGCTTATAAGCATTAAAGCCCCACCGCTTAAGGGTCATTTGCTAAAACTCTCTGGGGAGAGAGGAAAACAGCAGCCAGGTCAGCACACCTCCCGTGGTCATGCTGGGTCCCGTGAGAAAGCAAAGGGGACTCCAGCAGGGCGCACAGACACAGTTACACGGAGGTCATGCGGCCATTTCCCTGGCAACACTTTCAGGGGACTTTCCTGTATTTTGTTTTCCAGCACTTTGCCAGATCTGGCCTTAAATATCTCAAGGGACGTCCTTTCATTTTCCTTCTTTCTAACTTGGGTAATTACGCCAGCGTCTAAGAGCTCTGGATGCCAGGAAAAGTTTGTCTGTCATTCAGAATATGACTCCCAGATCTCTTCTCATCATTTCTAGTTATACTCCTCCTACAATCATCCTTTTGTTCTTTTTCAGTGCTGATGCTAGTAATGATTAGGGTTACTGGGAATAGGGTTATCATATATGACAGAGTCCTTTTCTGCAATCATTTAAAATGTCTTTAAAAAAATCTTTTCCCTTTCTAATGAAGAAGTAGATTTGTATATCAAAACGTTGAAGTGACGTTTGAGAAAGTCATCTGTTGTGTCAGATATCTCTAGAATTTCAAGGAAATGTAAAAAAAGTGTTTTGAAAGGCATACATTAACACGCATGAAAACTGGCACAGATTGACAATTTTAAAATGTAATGTTATGTTGTTATAGGAAAATTTAATTCACACAGGAAAGACTTAATGTACATTGTTTCTGATATATCTCATTTGTGAGCGCATTTTTAAAAATTCAACAATCACCCAAATTTAGATAATCAATTTGAAAAACTATAAAATCTAGACCAGGGTATTATATTTTTGGAGGAATAAAATGTTTTAACAAGTGCATCTAATTTTTTAAAAATACGTAAAATCCATCAACGCCATTGCACAAAAATTTCAAATAAGATTATGCCCCTTACTCCAACATTTTTTATTAAGTAGTTTTTTGTTTTTAAGGTAAAGGGAGGGAAGGAGTAGAATAGGTTACTGTCACTTTTTTTCCTATG